TGGGGAATTCTGGGAGTTGAAGTCCACACAGCTTGCTAAGGCTGAGAAACACTGCTGTAATGTAATATGTTCCTAAACATTGTAATAGGAGCTGACTAATAATAAAACATATACTGTCGGTGCATCGTGCCTTTAGCTGTCTCCTTAAGCAGACCCCAGCTGCTGAGAACCACTACATCAGTGTTTTTCCTGCTGGCGGGTGAATGCTGGGAGTTGAAGTCCACACAGCTTGCTAAGGCTGAGAAACACTGCTGTAATGTAATATGTTCCTAAACATTGTAATAGGAGCTGACTAATAATAAAACATATACTGTCGGTGCATCGTGCCTTTAGCTGTCTCCTTAAGCAGACCCCAGCTGCTGAGAACCACTACATCAGTGTTTTTCCTGCTGGCGGGTGAATGCTGGGAGTTGAAGTCCACACATCTTCCAGCTGCCACGTTTGAAAAACACTACACTACATTGTCACTGAAAACCTTTTAGGACCATCACATAAGCCAGAAATTGGTAATAAAGTCTGAAATTTGGTGGCTTTGGGGCAAGAATTTAAAATCCTACAAGATTTTAAGACAGAATGCCAAAACACACAGGATTCGTACTATTTTCATTTTAGTACCCACACCAAGGGGTGCAGTGGTCCCCGGTCTACATTAAGGATGAGAAATCTATGATCCTTTGGATTTTTTAAATATAAAGTGCCATGAATCTCAAAAAAAACAACAACAACCCACAAAACCAAAATTCGTTGTCAGTGATCAGAGATGATGGGACTTGTAGCCCAACATCAAGAGGTTCCCCATTACACATCTGGGGACAGATGTCCTAGAGATGGTCTCTCCATGTGCACTGCAGCGCTGAAACTTGATGGCACATAATTAATCATCAGTCAATGGTTCAATCAATTATTGCAGGGAGCAACTTAGATAATTTGCCTTCTGGTAAATGGGTGATGGTGAATGTGCAAGTATGTATCAGCCTTGTGAGGTAGTCCAGACAAGAAGCACATCCAGAAGTACTCGCTCTACTTTACTGTAAGGTTATATGAACAGAAACTTGCAAGTCTGAAAGGACATTTCTCCCCTGTTGCCTTTACAGCCCCAGTAACTATGAAGGGTCCCTTCTGAGACATTTGCCATGTCCACATTCCTTCTGTGGGTTCAACTGCTGCTTATCCAACCATTGCCCTGGCTACGACTCTTCCTCCTGTCTCCCAAGGTCATTCCCACATATCATTACAGTATGATTGTAGAACGTGCCTTCAACCTAGTTACAAAAATTAATGTACTTGCTGTAGTTTTTCACCATGAATGGTGAAGCACGAAGGGGGAGGTATTCAAGGCACCAACCAGAATGGAGAGAGAGATCTCAATGCAGCCCCCCAGGAGAGAACATTAAAAAAAAAAACTTGCAGTCTGCCAGGGGTTTGCAAGGTGCTGCTTTTTAACAGCAGTTTAACAGAAGCTGATTGAAGGAAAAGAACATTATTCTATGGCTGTACAGACAAAGGAAAAGCCTTTTTTCCTCTTTTTTTCCTGAATTTGGTTAAGTGAACCCAACAAAGAAAGGGAGGGGAGAATAATAACAAAATCAGATTTCTCCATCATCTTATTCAAAACCAATATTGGAGTCAATTACTGTATTTAACTTTTCTCCAAAAAATGTCTAGAGTGTCCTCCTTTTTTTCTCACTTGAAACCATAATATTGTAACTCTATATTTGCAGAATCGTTTTGTCTTCCGGCTCACCCTTCCCATTAAAAATACTGTTCTCGGTTTGATTGCTTTTTCCTTTATTTCCATTCAATTTTAATACTGTTATAAGGTTCGGTCATTCTTTTATTTGCCCTATGGGTTAAAATTGAATTATTAAAAAGGTACAGGTATATGCATTTCTTTCTCTAACCCCAGTGACATTTTTTCTGTTATTGGGAGGGGTGGTGTGGCACAAACTCATTCAAAATGTGGGGGCAGTACTGTGAACTCCAGCTTTAATTGATTTCATCCTCCTCCTAAAAAAAAATCTTTCTCTGCATCTCAGGATCTGCTCTGCAGTGCTTCCAATGTAAATTCACCATTTTCAATATACCATGCCACACTTCAGTGGTCCCCTGTGAAGGCGGGCAAGTTTGTGCTACCATCCACGGAAGAGCTGGTAAGGTTTTCTTCCTCCCTGTCTTCACCTGGGCTGTGTTTCTCCAGGAACTTTATCTGGCATAATTTCATTTTCTGGAATAATAATTTTGAATAGGTCCCCATAGAACCCTAGTTGTGGAATAAACAACTCTGGGATTCCTAATCAACATCAGGCAATGTATTAAAATTGTTCCGTTTTGTTCACCTGTTCAACCATCTTTGGTTTGTTTAAGGCCAACCAAGAAGCACGAAATTATTCTAGGATAGACCCACTCAGGTTTGAGAATTTTAGATTCAGGTGGTGTGGATCTGTAAAACTCTGCTCTGCTTTCTGTCCAACTTGTTCACAGTGATGCCATAACGAGTATGGCACCGTATGGGTGGCGGGGGACTTACCAACACATGCCTCTCAATCCATGTCTTTTTGTCCTGACTTTCCCCCTAGCTGGCCAAAAGCTCATCAAGAGGAAGAACTGTGTCCCACAGGATAAATGCAACAAGAACGATACTGAGAGCTTTCTGAGCATCAAATATGTCACCAGCTACGAGTGCTGCGAAGGTGATTTGTGCAACTCGGCCATCCTGCCCTCCGCTCACATCTCCCTGCCTGTGCTTCTGGCCATTGGAAGCACCTGGTTCCTTGGTCTCCTCTAATCCTCTGCCCAGGTGAGAGGAAACCATCTCTAGAAGATGCCAAACATTAAGTCTGCAGTCCTGCTACCCTTCTGCCTTGGAGTAAGATCCACCGAGCTCTTGCCCCGTAGAGGATCGTACTATAACCCTATCAAACACTGCATTAAATAGACACTTTTGCCTTTTCTTGTTATTCAAAAATGCACCTGTTCGTTAATCAAGGCGTATCCTCTATCTTGGAGCATATGAATGAAGCTTTAGGAGTTGAACTTGGCTAAATCCTCCTCCTTTGTCATCTTCTTTGCCTTCTACGTTTTCCATTTCTGTTCCACTTATTTTCATTCTCTGCAAGCTTTTCCTTAAAACAGGGTTGGGAAACAAGTGTCAGACCCACTACAATTCCAGCAGTCCCATCCAGGAAGATCATGGTCCACAAAAGCTGGTAGTTAGGTGCCAGGAAATACCCCATACCCACTTGCCTTAGACCCCTTCTAAGCCTTTTCACCCCTTGGCATTTCACTCAGTTGTCTTCCTCCCCTACTAAAAGCCCCTGCCTCAGCCACTTAGTATTTTTTTTTCCTTTTTCAGCACACAGGCGTTGTGTTGTGTTCTCTCTCCCAGCTGTCCAGAGCCCCTCATTCCACAGGATTGTCCCCAACTATGATAACAAGTTATGACTTTTCCTCGGCATGGTTGGGACTTGCCACCTTCCCGCTCTCCCAGCCTTCTCCTGATGACAGTGCCGTGTCAATGAGGGAGACAGGACAATGCAGGGCAATTCCCCCAGGGCACTTCTCCCTTTCATACCACCCCCATTCCACTAAGGAAATATGATCTGCGGCATGCCTGTGTCCATACGCAGACATTCGGCCTATCAGCTGAACAGCGCTGGAAGAGGTCTTCTGAGGCAAGAGATCCACTGGGCGGCGATGAAAATACTCCTGCCAAGCGCTGCTATTTTGGTTGCCCGTGAGCCAGCTGTTTTAAAGGCTACATACATGACATTCAGCAGAGGAGGAGCTGTGTTCCCAGTTCCTGCACACCATGTCAGGAAGGAAAGCTGGGTTTAACCCTACATATGCCTACATTTCTGCCTTTATCCCAAATACCTGCAGGCAGTTTTCTTGCATCCGTACTCTTGACACGTCAGCCGCATTCAGTTGCCATCTCCTGAATTCAGCAGGCCCAATTCAAGCACTTTCGTCTTCTTGCAGACCCCACATCCCTAACACCTGCTTCCTGGAGTTACCTGGAACACAGGTAGATCTGGCCCATTTGCCTTCCCCCAGTTCTTCATTTTTCCAATGTTGAATTATTCCTATTTCCACATCAGTTTGCCAGTTTGTTCTAAAGTCAAGATGTGTACATCTTTTCTCTGAATAGATACATTTGCATTACACGGTCTCCAGTACAGTATACGTTTTTTCTAAGATACACATTAATAGCAGTGGATTTTTTTCTAATGTAATACATTTTTACACATACATTCCCCACATGTATACATCCTTGTGCTTTTTTTTTTTTTTAAAGCTGTGAATATAACAATTGAATTGTAGAGACTAGCATATATGGTAGCTCCATTCTCCATTCTAGGTTCTGAAAGGGCAGATTAATCAAGTTTGCTGAATAGACTTCTCCTCAGTCTAGTTTGGACAAGCAAGATGAATTAGATAAATCTCTGATCTGGTGCAGTAGTTCCCTGTTGTCGTCCTGCTTTTAGTTTCTCAAAAAGGCAACGTTGTCAAGAAGACCTATCTTTCAAATTAAGCATTCAACCACCCACTTGAGATCGTAACCAAGTTATGACCGAGTGCTCAGAGATGGAGCTGCAAAAATACTTTCTGATCTTTTAGATTTGCTACAGGACAAGTTTTTTCAGGAAACTGTAGGCAGTACTTGTATCCAAGAATGCTAATTGTTTTAGACAGTTTTCCTTTGTTTTCCAAATAATTGTTCAGCTGTCATTAAAGCCTCTTTAAGCCACATCTTTCATTTTCCTCATTAGCAAGAATAGCTCAAATTATGAAGTAAAGTATATGCTGGTCCATAACTGTAATAAAGATTTGCTTTGATGAAGTAAAGTAGTCAGATGGGATCCTCCCAAAAAACAGGGCTTGGAAAACAGAAGGCCATATAGGATAAATTGTATAGATGGAGTAGAAGCAAGGTTAGTTGGGAGAATGGAAAGATAGAATGAATGGTGTTTGTGTAAACTAAATTTAATTCATTTCATTTCATTTTCTCTTTGTCCTTTAATTTCTCTTGCTTACTACTTTTAAGTTTTCTGCACTTTATGTAACATTGCTTACCCTGAAAGGGAATAGAGAGATTGGTGTGCGTATATTCACTTTTTAAAATTGCTTTAAGTTTGTTTGATATTCGAATTCCAGAATGTGCTTTCGAACAATGAAAAAAGCAACTGAAACTAAATTATACAACTTCCGTAACAAAAAACTGAACATTCATTCTGGCTAATATATATTATATATTGTTGAATATATAATTCAATAGGAAGTTGAAAGGGAAGAATTTACACAGAAAACCTAAATGCACTGTAGTTTTAAATAAGACCTTTTGGCTGTATTTTTAATCCCCTCTTATCTGGAAGCAAGTCCCATTGAACTTAATGGATCTGACTTCTGACTTGATATGTATACATGTATTCTGTAAAAATAAACACGATTCCTCCACACATTGGGGTTTGCTCTCTTTTTTACTCCATCCCTGGCACGTTTTACAGCATTCCTAAAATATGGAAGAAACTTCCCCGACGAATGGGCAGACTTTATTCCTGCACATTTTGATTAGCTGCTTTCCCACCATACATACATCTAGAGCAGCATTTCTCAACCTCCACAACTCTAAGCCATGTGGACTTCAACTCCCAGAATTCCCCCAGCCAGCATGCTGGCTGGGGGAATTCTGGGAGTTGAAGTCCCATACATCTAGAGCAGCATTTCTCAACCTCCACAACTCTAAGCCATGTGGACTTCAACTCCCAGAATTCCCCCAGCCAGCATGCTGGCTGGGGGAATTCTGGGAGTTGAAGTCCCATACATCTAGAGCAGCATTTCTCAACCTCCACAACTCTAAGCCATGTGGACTTCAACTCCCAGAATTCCCCCAGCCAGCATGCTGGCTGGGGGAATTCTGGGAGTTGAAGTCCTCACATCTTAAAGTTGCCAAGGTTGAGAAACACTGATCTAGAGGAACCTCCTTTTACTGCTCTAATCCCTAATTAGAGGCTAATGAAGTTCTTGGACTTTCTTCTGCTGGCATCTGAGATACCTACATCTGCTGTTCAGTTATTTCTGAATCAAGTCCAGAGGGTCACCAGTCCAGATAAAATTTAATGATATTAGCTTTCATGTCTCGGTGGTTTTTCAAGTTCCTACATTATTCAGACTCAACTTTTTATTGGAGATACAACTCCAGTAGCATTTTTATCTTGGTGACCAGTAGGGCATTAGACTGCAAGCCAGGGACTTCCTTTTTGTCTGTTTTCCTTTTCCCTGATTGGATGACTGATACTCTGCCTCTTCCTGTCAACCAATCCTACAGGAAGAAGCCAGTGAATTATCAGAAGAATCTGAACCAGGATTCTCTAAAAAGTTCCAAACAAAAGGGTTATGGGCCCAGGGAATTCAAAATCTTTGGAGAAAGCAAGGAGCATAGCATGGAAAGAGGATCTTAGGCAACTGAGAAACTGTAAGACCCTGATCTTGAACTGAACCAATACTTGCTGTTAAGTTGTCAGCCTTGCAAGATAGTCCAGAGAAGAAGCACACCCAGCAGTTATTGTAAGGTTACATTAACAGAATTGTGCAAGTCTGAAAGTACATCCAAGTACTTTCCCTCCTTGCCTTTACAGTCCAAGAAACTAGGGAGGATCCCTTCTGAGGCATTTACCACTCCCCCATTCCATCTGTGGGCTCAGCTGCCGCTTACCTCACTGCTATCTAGCCTGTGGCTCTTCCTCCTGTCTTCTAAGACCATTTCCACGTACAATTACATAATTGTCATTTTGAACATGGCAGAACTGAGACATTATTCAATACATTAATCATATTTATTGCTTGTAATGCATTTTTAACTTCAGTTCAGTTAGTTTTTCTCCTTTTTGATCTCACTCTTGCACTTTGGTGCAGTCTCTGGCCCAGCATTCCAAACCTGAATGAAGCCCTTTGGCCCCAGATGGTTATGCATGGCTATTGATGATGATTCTCATGAAAAACAATACAGAACTTGCAACAGTGCATGAAATCAATACACATACACCTTTCTGCAATTATGGCAAATTTTAACACTAGAAGAGGGGTATTCCATTTCTCGATGAAACTGCTTTAGGTTCTAATGGGTTCTCCCTGGCTTCTAACCTCACTGCCTGATACAGCTGTGCATGTTCAGATATCAGGCATCTAGGCTAAATGTAAAAGCAGTGCCAGCTGCATTTTTAAGGCCAGAAAGTTTTGGACTGTCATCTCATTTGGGTGAAACACTCAGCTGCTTACAACTTGGCTGCCAGAGATGTTATCTCAGTATTCCTCAACCTGGTGCCCCACCAGTTGTCTTGGGCAAGTCCTATCATGGTACTCAGTTCTGCTAATGCCTGGGATTATGGCAATTCTAGTCCAAGACATCTGGAGGATACCTATAGAGGACATAGGGCAGTGTTTTTCAACCTTGGCAACTTTAAGATGTGTGGACTTCAATTCTCAGAATTCTCCAGCCAGCTTGCTAGCTGGGGAATTCTGGGAGTTGAAGTCCACACATCTTAAAGTTGCCAAGGTTGAGAAACATTGACATAGAGAATAGCCTTGAAGGAGAGGAAGAAGAGCTACTACCAAGACAATGGTCAGATAAAAGGGACCTGAGCCCAGGCCAAGAAATCAATTTGAGAAAATGTCTCAGACAGGACCCTCCTAAGTTCACATGAAGATAAGTGAGGGAGGGGGAAGCACATTCAGACTTGCAAGATTCTGTTACTTTAGCTGTTTCAATAAAAATAGTCCTGACCCACATGGCATTAGTTTCTTAGCTTGTTGGTCTGACAATACCAGACCAGAGCCATCTACCCTACATGAAATTAGATAACATTCTTAAGGTCTGTCAAATTCTGGAGACTTGTGTTGAATCTTCTGCTTTTTAAAAGCTTAATAGCAGCCATCAATGGGGGGAATGCAATCAAGAGCTTGCTCCAAATACCTTATTTTTCAAGTGAAAATCACCTGCTTTTACTGAACCTAAACCCCAGACAGGTAACCTTAGGTGAAATGTTTCTCAGGGGAGGGCAGTATAGAAGCTTTAGAAAAGGACAGATGAGACCATGAAGAGATCTGAATGTTAACCCTCTATCCCTGATACTCATAGTTAGGTTTAAAGCACAAGAAAAACATGGATTTTCAATTCTCTGCTTTTGGACTAGCAAAACTCTGGGTTAAAAATGTATAACCCCATTAGTTCATCTTTAGTAGATGGGATTGATCTGGGCCAGGATCTGCAACCCAAGATCAGGCAGAAGCTTGAAAGGAGTGGTTTTCACTGGCAAAGGAAGATGAACTCTCCTGCTCTCTCCACCTGAATGTAAATTGTTAGACCTATTCTGCTTAGCATGGTGAGGCTGTAGCCAACATTCATCAAATCAAGCATTTGTAAAATGACTTCAAACTTCACCCAGTGAAATTGCTCAAGAAGCATGGTGCTAAGCTCTACCACTTCTAAAGTGGGATGAAGTAGGAGGCACTTCATAAAATCAGGAGGGAGCTGAAGGTCCTATTTGGCCCAAAAACTAACTTAGTTTTATACTGTATTTGCCTTTTCTCAACAAACTCAAGGTAGAGTATACAATATCCCATCCTCTAATTTTATCTTTATCAACAAGTCCATGATGTTGGCTGCCTTGAGTTTCTGAAGCAAAGGCAGGAAATAAATACATAAATAAATAACTGAGTGTGGATCTCAGCATGAGTTTCCCCCATCCTGCTCCAAAGCCTAATCCAAATATAAGCCAGACGTATCCCCATTATGAGCCTCTGACAAATGGCGGCACTATTCAAAGCCCTTTTGTGGCACAAAGCATGTAAACACCATAGTGTTTGCTCTAAAACGAGTTTCATATTTGAAATAGAGAAAAAACACCTAAACTACAGGAGGTTTCCAAGGTTGGACAGTTATTTGTCTGGAATGGTCTGATGATTCTTGCCCTGGGCAAGGGGTTAGACTAGGGCAGTGTTTCTCAATCTTGGAAACTTTAAGATGTGTGGACTTCAACTTCCAGAATTCCCCAGCCAGCTTTGATCTTTGCTT